GAATTCCTTCGACAGAGTGGGGTCGTCATCTTTCAATGTGTCAGACAGCTGGGAGAGATTGTGAGCCAAGGGAACTCCGGAAGAACTGTTAATCTCAGTTGATCCTCCTGATGAAGCACCCGAGTCTCCCGATGTACACCTTCCAAAGGACTGCAAGAAGGCAGACCAAGCGGTTAGGACTTCCTCATTGGCATTCACGAGAGACAGCAGACGGTCTCCTTCACGATCGAATACCCACACCGTAGGACTTCTGAAGTCTCGAAATAGGGAAGTGCTCCACAAAAAGGGGCGGGATAGACCACGGATAACGACTATCTGAGTGGTGGTGAGTAAGCCTTTGTGGACGTTGATGAGAGAGAGAATCGGGCAGTTGACGATCTGATCACCAGCTGCTACCCTTGCGGTGCAAGAACGACCTGTTTCCTGCAGGACCACTCCTGCTTCCTTCAGAGAGCGTAAACCATCGAGGGAACAAGCATGCATCATAGCCCCTGAGTCTAAAAGACCCGCGAAAGCCGCGGTCCCACCGGTTTCCGTCTGGAAGGATAGGTTTACATGACGCAAAGATGGCGGGACAGACGTATCAGAGGAGAGTGAGGAGCACTCAGAGACCGACAAGGTGTTGCTGAGATCCGAAACAATGACAGTTTCCATTGTTAAAGGTGCTGTTTCCGCGGCGGCTGCTGCAGATACGTGGGACCCTTGTTCTTGCCGAGGAGGTTTAATGCAGTGCGCCGTATGATGGGCTCCCCCACATCTGTCACATTTCACGCTGCCCCTCCACGGACATGCGGAGACGTCAGGGCAGCGTAATTTGGTGCGGTTACAGAGATTGCATCGGTCCGACTTTTGCACAGGGGATGGGGCAGGGCAGGAGATACGAGAACCCTTACAATTAGGGTCCGAATCGAGACATCGTGTGCACCGGATTCGAGGCTTGCTCTGGAACCGACCCTGGCGATTTGAATAATTATTTGGGTGACCGTGGGAATAACTCGAAAGAGGTTGATTTGGATATCTTCCCAAGGCTGAGGGGGATGCCGTCGGGTGCTGTCTCCAAGGATACTCTCCAGGAATGAGCTTGTGAGGAGGTTATCCAGATTCCGTAGTAAGTGCGTTGGGGTTCGTCAGCAGAAGCATCTAAGGTGATTCTGTCCCCCAGGTATGGTAGCGACAATAGACTAGGGCTATTGTCAACATGGGACTCTTCGAGAAGGCAACATACCAGACCCGATTGCTCATCGTGCTTGATCACGTGTACCTCATGATAGGCGTCTAGAAGTTTAACAAACCGAGTAGGGTAATCGTCGGACATAGCGTTAGTGTAAGAATCCCGGTAGAAGATGTGCCAATTTACGAACTCGGCGTGATGTAGGCAGACGGAATTTGGGTTCCGAGAGATGGAGAAAAGACCATAGAGTCCTTAGCGTGACGTACGGGACTCATAGACGAGTGCGTCACGTCACGAAAGGACGAGCGAAAGTGAGAGAAAGAACGAGATGAGACGATGGTGTCTGATGGACAAAGGATGGGGCTTGGAGAGACAGACGAACTATCGTAGTTCGGCACACCTATGACGTATTACGTTCTTATCTAGTGCATTACAAGTTTGTCACAAATTGGCATTATCTGCCTGAGACATAGCTTCTCTGGACGGTTTTTATATCTATGCGCACATAGCGATAGCACACTGTGTGCTGCACACAAGTATGTTATAAAATGACTATTAGTCTGTCGTAATTTGGCAATATATGCCTGTGACATACTAGCTTCTATGCATTATCTGTGTTTTTATTTGTACGCGCTATATATAGAACCCAGATTTTTTAAATACGTTGATAAATCCATTCATTGCAAGGTACACTTGCTTGTCATTGAATGGCTTCATACGCCTTTGACTTGCGTAGTCCTTGCATGTAACGTATGTTCGTTATACGCGGACTACAACTTAATCTTATCAGCACACTTATTGTAAAGTGCTCACCGCGTAGAACAGGTTATATTTTCTAGCATTTGTAGTTCGAATTAAGTTATATGTAGTACATATGTGTCGTAATTTTACATTATGTTTTACGTAGAAATAGTGAATATTCATGTCCTTTTCCCGCCTTGATCATCTTCCGAAGGAAACGGAGTTAACTGCCATCACGTAAACTACTGTATACGAGTGGACTTCGAACAACAAGGCGTTTTGGAGTTGGTAAATTTCAAGTTATTATGCTGTTGACGAAGATAAAATTCCTTTTGCTCGAGATTTATGTTGGCCTCAACAAATGGGTTTGAAGACTGGTGTTGCTTACTGTGTCATAGCTAAAGTCTTTAGCTAAAAGGACTTTAGCTATTTAGCCTAAAGAGTTTCGTAAATATGTCGAAAATAGTATGATGTATAAGCTTAATCATGCTGATATTGTTGATGAGGACAGAAGGTATAAACAGGCATTTGTTCGAGCCGTTGTTGACAAAGATTTTTGGACTAATAATTCTTTGTGTCTTCCTGCCGGCGATAAGTTTAATCACGACATAGCTCATATGTCAAAGTTTTGGGATTTCTTGGAAACTACCCCTACGACTATTCCATCGATCTTTCTTAACTTTGATGATCATAATGTGGTCTTTGCTACTCGTGATTTTTACAATGATATGAGACCCAAAGACGACTTAAGTGGTTTCCCTCAAGATAACGATGTATACTTAGAAAACTTATCTTTCGATAGTAATGAAAAATTGAATAGACTTATATGGTTAAATACTCATTTATGTCTTGGCCGTGCTGCCTTTTATGATACCAATATTCTTCCATCAGCCAACAAGTATTTATTTAAACCTCATGATTCATTTGATCTTACTTCCTTTACATGTGACGTCACACTGCTACAAAGAACGTTTATGTCTATGTCGCAACAATATCCTTCAGTTGATCGTTACACTGTGTTGGACTGGACTTTAAATAACTTCGTTGACTTGTCTAAGCTTGATGATAAACTATACAATTTCTTGCGACGTAATGTTCCATGTGATAGGTTTCTCATACAAAGCTTTCTATATGCAGATGATCTCAATCACGGTGCTGCAGATTTCGGTTTGAACTTAGGTTGAAGATTAGGAAAAGGTAAAGCTCGTAAGAGTATTCCGCATTCCTTGGGTGATTACTGGAGCGGTTTAATAAGTGACACATTGCAGTCCGAAGTATGTAACATTTTATGTATGTGTAAATCTGGTGCTGCTTTAAATGTCCATAATGATACTTATACTTGGCTGGCTGGCTTATTACCCAAATCTATGTCGTTATCTCCTGCTATGTGCCATATTTTGTATAACATTCAACATACGTGTAGTTCGATCAAGTGCGAAGTCGTAGGTGACTTTTTCGAGATTTTACCTATGTTGTGCGTATTGTACAAAGCGCCTGATCTTTTATCTTTGCTGACGCAGGCAACTATTCTTATCGAAAGTACGACCAGGTTTAATGCTGGATATACTTTTCCAAGCATGCTTCCTGTTAATGAAGCTGCTACTCTTATTGCTAAGAAGCATAGTATTCCTATACAACCTGAGTCATCTTTGTTATACTTACGTCAGTTGCAGCATGATCGTATGCCAAAAGACTGTTATCGTTACTCCTATATTAAATATGATGACGACAAGATTGGTTCGTTATGGGGCGACATAGATTGGGATACATCTGGTCATCCTGATAATTAACATAAATAAACATTAATAAACTGTCAGTTTGATCATTCATTACTCAATCATTTATGCGTAGCAAGTGATTGTGTTTCGTCAAGTTGTCGAGTTTTTTCACAAACGGACGGTCCGTTGTCTTTCTATGATATAATGGACGCATAGCGGGTTGTTAGTAGCGGCAGCTGTCGGCACCGGATACTGTCACAGGAGCGAAGGTGTCGTACAGGGACACTTCCCCTCCCACCGGCCTGTCTATTGCTCCAGGATGGACCTAGTATCATTGTGAACTCGTGTTAGCGGATTACAGTCGATACAAATGTATGGCCAGGTTCGTTCAGGTTACGGTGTAGTGGATGTCAAGTTATTGGGCTTGGAAGTTGACGCATGTGATGCTGGTACATGGTGTTCCCTCTACTAAGTGAAGAGACTTTTCCATGGGATACTGTTGTGTATTACAGTAGGAATGGGTACGGGGGTGTGACTGGGTGCCAGTCTTCATTCAATGACCACTACAGAGCCTTCTACTGCAGTACGAAGGCAGAGTGGTAAAATGTATAGGAAGGGGGGAAAGGGGAAAGGAAAAGGGAAAGGAAAGGGTAAAGGAAAGGGAAAAGGGAAAGGACGAGAAGGTAATAAGATCATCGATCCAGTATGGTATATTCTCTTACGTCAATCGTATCCCATGACGAGGGATGTGACGTCGGGACTTATTTCGCCCGAGCGGACCCTTGTATAGTCGTGTTCCCTGTTGAGCTATGATGGACCTCCGCGTATGTGACACGTGGACAATGAGGCTCGTTCTAATGCCATGCTAGCACTAGGCCTATCCACCTAGTTACGCGTTGATCTCGACAGATACGTCCGAGGGAGGCTACCACCGAGGTGATCGGAGTATGGGTCTACGACATCGCGAGGACGCCGAGATTGCCGACCTAGAGAATAGGCTTATTATTGAGTGCCCCCGAGAAGTGAGTCCCGCTTGTGCGGTCTCCTTGGATGCTTTATCGGTAGGGAGAAAGTGTGGAGCAGTTTGAGAGGAGGAGAGGGTTGGGAGATGCAGATGGGGACCAGCAGCAGCAAGCGCGTTCAGGTAGGGGCGGTTGGAGTATGGTACGACGCATGAAGGTGTTGTGTCATTAGCCACTGGCCCTGTCCTCACTGGCCATGCCTTTGGTGAGCTGCCTCTCTCTCGGAAGACCCAACTAGGCCTCAAGGACCACGGCTTCACCAAGCTTACTCCCATACAGAGAAGCGCCATACCCTATGCTCTAGCGGGACGAGATGTACGTCATAGTAGATAGAGCGAGTGCATATATCTCTATGTAGGTACTTGGTGAGGCTAGGACGGGTAGTGGCAAATCGCTGGCTTTCATTATACCGGTGATCGAGAAGCTGTATCGCATGAAGTGGAGTGCTGATGATGGTGTTGGTATGTGGGTATGGCCTCTCATCCATCTATAAATGCCCTGTTCGTCTAGGTGCGGTATTGATATCCCCTACAAGGGAGCTCTCAGCCCAAATATTCACCGTGCTGCAGCAGGTTGGCAGCCATCATGACTTCTCCGCGGGCTGTGTGGTTGGTGGAAGGAAGTTCCAAGAGGAGCAGAAGGTCTTCCCATCCCTATCGATAGTAGTCTGCACTCCTGGCCGGCTACTACAGCATATAGAGGAGACCGCTGGCAGTGACCTCTCTAATGTCCAAGTGTTGGTATTAGACGAGGCTGATAGGTAGTGGTGGGGGGAGTGGGAGGTCGCACTGTCATTGTGAAGATGCTCAGGATATTGGACCTGGGGTTCAAGAGGACTATTGAGCTCATCTTGGACGCACTGCCTCCTAAGCGTCAGACGCTACTCTTCTCTGCGACTATGCGGACCAGTGTTCAGCAACTCGCTACATTAGCATTGGATAACCCTGAGCTCCTATCCGTAAGGTCCCGGGTTCAATCCTCTGCTCAGGCATTGCCATTCAGGTTTCGAGGAACTTAAACTCGGCCACCCCCACGGGCCTCCGACAGCTGTGCATGACAGTAAAGTTAGAAGAGAAGGTGAACTCCTTATTCAGCTTCCTCAAAACCCATGCTCAGACCAAGATAATAGTCTTCGTCAGTGCCACCAAACAAGTGAGCTACTTCATCGTTCTCTCGCCCGCTTCTCCATCGTTGTATTAGGTGCGCTTCCTCTATGAGACCTTCCGACGCCTTAGGCCAGGCCTTGCTGTACTAGAACTTCATGGCGGTATGTCTCTTGATAAGAGGATGAAGGTAAAGAGGGAAGCCAGGGTAGTGGCGGTATAGTCTTCTGTAGGTATTCGATCAGTTCGCCTCAAAGGACAAGGGCCTGTGTCTGATCTGTACTGATGTAGCAGCGAGAGGTGTGGACTTCCCACAGGTATAGTAGCATGTACGAGGCTGTGTGGCATCTCACTATTGCTGCTGTCTTAGGTGGACTGGGTTATCCAGATGGACGCACCGGATACAGCGGATACCTACATCCACCGCGTTGGGAGGACTGCTCGCTTCGACAGGAACGGCAATGCTCTCATGTTTGCTACTGAGGTAGTGTCGGGGTAGACAGCAAGAGCTTTTGTCGGAGAAGGGACTTCTTGTAGGTGGAACAGGAGTCTCTGCTGCCCGAGCTGACCCAGAAGAAGGTGGATGTTCGTGTGACCTCTATCAACAGGAGGCGAATGTTCAATGTACTGTTCATGCCCTCGGTCCAGTCCCTGTCTACTATCCTATTATTAGATCGCTGGTAAACTACAGAGTCTGCTAGCATCCGAGCCTGACGTGAAGCATCTTGCCATCAAGGCCGTCCAGGTAAGTAGTTATCGAGTGCTTTAGTCTGGTTACTGTGGTTGCTCAGGTTTATGCTAGGGCGGTAGCACTCACTGGCAGGACTAGGCTAACTGAGGATCAGGTGGCGGCCTATGCTCATAGTCTAGGTAGGTAGTGTAGTGGAAGTAGTAGAGATGGCAGGGTGTGGTAGGCCTCCACGAAGCCCCTCCGATAACGCTGCCGACACAGGAGGAATTGACGAGCGGGAAGAAAAAGAAGAACATGTCCAAGTTGGAGGTACTATCGGTCGCACAGGGATCGGGATAGAATTCCGACTGTAGTACTGCTTAACTCCTGTTATTGGTCTGCTTTAAAGAACGCCGCGTGGTTTTAAGTGTGGTTATACTCCAATTCAGCGTAGTTATGTGAGGTTCTTCTCAGCGGTTGAAGGAGAAGATACGGCAAAAGAAGCTGGCTAAGAAGGAGAAGGAGATGAGTGAGGAAGCAGGGAAGGTTGAGGAGGAAGAGGAGGAGGATGGTGGCTGGGCTCAGCTTGAGGAAGATCTACGAGATAAGAAAGGTAATTACCGACTATTTGATGGCGAATATAGAACGCATGGTTAAGACTCTGTAGACTGCAGTAAAGCTTACAGTGTTAGTTTGGAATATTTTGGTGGATTACAAGGGGATTACTTGTGCTTACTATTCAGCTACTAAGTTGTCCAAGTTTGAACGCCGCCAGAAGCGGCAGCAGGAGCTCTTTGCTGTTCGAGAGGATCAAGGGGCTGCTCAAGAGGATGAGGATGACGAGGATGTCCTGGTGAGTCGTATAGGAAGCTGCTGCCATGGTGGTGATGTTATGCATAGGTTACTGTGAATAAGGAGGGTGATACCGGCCTTCTGGAGGAGGAGCCAGCTACACAGGCGGAGACGAGAGCTCGGGATGCTGTCAAGAGGGGGCGACTACGTGTGAGGAAGGATGGTAGGGAAGTAGAGGGTGGCTTCTGGGCAGACGATGGCGTGGTGTAGGTACGATGTATGTGAGGGGAACAGGTGGCCTTGGGAAGAATCAGCACATGACTTTTGATGATGTGAGTGGTGATGAGGGAGAGGAGCAGGAGGAGGAGGAGGAGGATGAGGATGATGAGGAGAGTGAGCCAGGGGGAGGTGAGAGGTGGTGTTTGCATGGATGAGTGGTAGGTGCTGCTGCGGCTAAGGAGGCATTCATTGAGTCGATGAGGCAGAAGATGGGGGAGAGAGAGGAGGAGGACAAGAGGTTGATGCAGGAAAAGGTAGGGCTACAGAGAGGGGGGTTGAGATAACACAATGGACGATAGGTACGGGACAAGCATCGTAAGATTAAGGAGAAGCTCCGCCGAAGGAAGGCTGATGATAATGACGATGTTGGAGCAGAGGCGGGGGCTGTTCTAGCGAG